CTCTCCTCCCCCTACTTCCTCCCTCTCCCTTACCCCTCCTTCCTCCCTCCCCACCTCCACCACCCCTTCTCCTTACTCCAACCCCACTCTTTCCCCACCCCCCTTCACCCTTCCCTCCCCCAAAACAGCATCCTGAAGCTGCTGAACCAACGTAAGCTGGAGACCCTGAAGGAGCGATGGTGGAACCAGAACCCGGAGAAGAAGAAGTGCGAGAAGGACGACGACCAGAGCGACGGCATCAGTATCGAGAATATTGGTGAGTGTCAACTTAAGAGGTCGGGGCGTAGAGCAGGTGGAATGAAAGGGGACTCGGCTGGAAGGTTTATTGGGGAGGGAGATGTGTGACCCCGCGAGAGACCCGTGCCCCGTGTGCCGAGGAAAATTGTTTTAGATTTGTAAATATAACTTTAGTGTACAGGTCACATACTGTACATTTAAGGACCGAAAACCTTCTACTTGCACCTACAGGACTGGGAACAAATGGGTATGAACACGTTGCCCAATAAGGACACAAGTAGCAACAATTATATGTAATACATATGTCTGGGTGTATAAACGTGTGTATCCCTGTGTGTTGTGATAAGGTTGGGGTTGTGAGCAGGTGGAATGAAAGGGGAATTGGCTGGAAGGTTTATTGGGGAGGGAGAGACCCGAGCCCAAGTGCCGAAGGAGGAACGGTGACGAGCGAGACCGTCGGCTGTCCCTGTCTCTCCCTGCTCTGTTCTGCGTCTCCTCTTGTTCTTATGTCTGCCTGACGAGACGTCCTTCTATGCAGCTATTCCTTGCGAGGGTGTTGCTTGCTTAGGAGGAAGTGTCAAAAAGGGAAAGTAGTGTGAATATTTACGACGGTGAAGAGTCTCTCACATACAGTCTCGGTCATGCCTCTTGTCAAAGCTGTTTCGAATTATGTTTCGAACGTCTGCTTAACAGCATACTCTTTGTAAAGGGTAAGACCGATTCGAAGTTTCAATTCATGGCATGACTTTTTTCCGTTACTGTACATACATACACACAGGCGGATAGATAGTCAGACACTTCTGCATACATATAATCAGACTCAAATTCTCACAATCACTTATACATATACATTTTTACGTACACACTCAGACTCACAGACACACACATACATATGACTGTGTGAGGGCAATTTGTGTGCATTGCCTTACCAATTCCATATATAACTACACATTATATGCCTTATAAACCATATATCTCATATCATACACACAACCAAACAACACACACACAAACAAACACACACACAAATACCCCAACTGATATAGACGTGTTCAAAACCTGTTCAATCTAACCCCCGCCGCCCCCCCCCTCCCCAGGTGGTGTGTTCATCGTGATCTTCGTGGGCATCGGACTGGCGTGCGTGACCCTGGCCTTCGAGTACTGGTGGTACAAACACCGCAAGGGACCCCGTGTCACCGACTCCGCGAAAGTCCTGTCTGTTCGCGAGATTGAGAAGACGGAGAAATCGAATTTTAATACGGAATATAAGTAAGATTTGTTTTACTTATTTTTTGTTATTTATTATTATTATTTTTTGGGTGTTACGTGTTTCAGTATTTGTTCTTATTATGATTTTGAAGATATGTTGTTTTTGTGTGTGTGTGTGTGTCGGTTATATACATCCCTTCATATCATTTTAGGTTATTGAGTTATTTATATTTTTCTATTAACATCATGTTTGTCTTCTGTTTTTTTTTTTCGTTGTTATTTCATCTGAATTATCTCCATTTTCTCCCCTTTTCTCTCTTCTTCCACATTTCTCTCCTGCTTTCTCTACTTCATTCTTCGAAAAGCAAATTTGACCTGAATTATAAATTTTAATTTGAATATTCCTTCTCCCCAGAATCTCTTTTCATTAAGTTTTTGATAATGGTGATAATGGCGACAGGATTAATTATGATGATAACTGTAACAATAATACTGATAACCTAGATGATGACGATGATAGTAATAATAATGATTACGATGATGATAATAATAGCAATGATAATAATGATGATGATAATGATGATAGTATCATCATTATCAGTGATGACTGATAATCGTAGTAAAGTGATGATAATAACAGTAATAATGATGATGATAATACTAATAATAATGATAAAAAAATAATAAAAATAATAACAAGTATGATTGCAGTAATGATTATGGTTATAGGAATGATTATGTTATCATTATGATCATTACCATTAATACCATAAACATTTTCATTATCTAATATCGTTGTTATTATTATGATAACTCTTATTGTTATTATTATCATTATTACCATCATTATCACCATCATTACTATCTTTATCATCATCAATTTCACTATTATTATCATCATTATTATCATAATTGTGTTACTATAGTCATTTCAATAATAGTGATGATAATGACAAAAATAATTACAGTGACACTACTAAGAATAAAAGTCACAAGACACAAAAATAAAACTAAAAATACAAAGAATAGAGATGAAGATAATGCAGAGTATAACATAATAGACTAAATTGCAAAAAAAAAAAAAAAAAAAAAAAAAAAAAAAAAAAAAAAAATAATAAAAAATAAGAGAAAAAATCAATAAATAGATAAAATAAACATATCTGGCACCTCACTCCCCCCTACCCCATGCCATAATCGTTAATCTTGCATAAAGTTGCATTTCTCTTCCAAAATGTTTCATACTTTTTTTTCCTCTTCATTTCATGGCTGAATTAATCTTCATCTTCGTCACTTTTTCTAGGAATAACTTCAATAAAGCAGAATTTAAAAGTGTATTTGTAATTGGTGTTAAAATTTTCGTTTAGTATCACGTTTTTAATAAAAGTATGTATTTATTTGAGTATAATTCATGATTATGTGTATTAAGTTATTTTATTTTGTTGTTTTTTTGTGAATGTATTAGACATGTACATTGTTCGTTGAATAGTAATAAGTATTCATTTCATAGTTTTCCTTATGTTGAAATAAACCACATTTGTAGTCTGTTTCTTCTCCAGTGAATATAAAATGCTTCGCTAATCTAAATAGTTATATTTTTTTATCAATAATGTTAGATTCTCACCAATAGATGCTTCACTTATATATTTATATAAAAAAACATAATGTCATGTAGTATCACTATAGTAATATATATGTGTATCTCACGTTTGAAATCCTTTTTACCCTAAACCCTAAATCCTTCATACACCTAAATCCCCGGTGTTTTCCTAAAATAAAATCCAGTTTAAAATCCTAATATCTTGCACTCACCTCTCATAAACTCACAGGCTCTAAATACCTCATACTAATTCCTATTAATTCCCACCAATTAGACACTACAATCCTTGCCAAATCCTAGCCTTAATCACCTTACTCTACCATTTCACACACACACACACACACACACGCACACACACACACACACACACACACACACACACACACACACACACACAAATCCTAAACAACACAAATCCTAAACAGAACACAAAATAATATAAATCCCATTATAAAAATCCTATCCAGCAACCTCATACGCCTCCTACAACAAACTCTCAACCTTCTTTGCCCCCAAAAATAATAACAAAAAAAGGTAAAAATAAAAAGATAAAAGATACACAAAAAATTAAAGACAAATGGACAATATTTTAGCGAAATTAACATACAAAAACCTGGTACGACACAGATATAAAACTCCCGACCCATTTACCCCAACCAGCTCCGTGATCGGATAGTGAAAGGGGGAAACTCCTCTGATCCTTGACCTTTGACCTCGCTTCAGTAAGGAATCGTAAATGCTATGTTGACCTGTGATGAGATTGCTGCATGTGCCTTCTTTTGCCTGCCTCATTTGCCTTGACTGAAGTTATTGATACTGATAATTTTGTTTTTGTCAGATCATTGTCATATCCAGTATTCTTATCGTTATTATAAGTATAATATAATAACTTCATTATTGCTGCTGCTGTTATCATCACTATGATAATGATGATAGTAATATCAATGGTAATGATATTGGTAACATTATGATTATTATTATCATCATCATTATTGTTATTATTATTGCTATTGGTATTATCATTATCATTATTATTATCATTAGTATTATAGTTGTAGTAATCATTATTGTTATTATTATAATCATCATCAATACTATGATCATTATTGCCATTATCGTTATCCTTATTATCACATCCATTTTCATTATTTCTATTTTTCATCAACACAATCATTATCATTATCACCATTACCTTTATCATTTTTAGAACCATTATCATCAATATTATCACCATCAGTAGTACCATCATCATTATGATTACCATTATTACTATCACTATCATAATCATCATCATCTTTAACAGGTCCACCTCCATTCAGCCATTTTTTAATTTTATTCATTCATCTTTTCCTCATGAGGCAAATGTTTTCATTATTCTGTTTTCTTCCTCCTGTTTCTTATGCTCTTTACTCACCTATTAATTTATCATTTTTAAACTTATTAATTAAATGTTTCATAAAATCAAAATTTGGATATATTTTGGGAAAAAGAAAGCAAAAAGGTAATGGTTAAAATTATATCAGCAAATAATGATAATGAAATGGTTACAAACATATATGGTATTGAGAATTATCCTAATGATAATTTTGGGAGTAATGTTAATAATAATGATGATAATGATAGCAGTCACATTGATGGTAACAATGATAATAATGAGGATAGTAGTGATAGTAATAGTAAAAACATTGATAATAATGATTATAATAATAATAATAATAATAACGAAAATAATAATGATAATAATAATAATGATAATAATAATAGTGATAATGATAAAAATAATTATAAAAATAATAGTGATGATATTATTAATAATAATGACAATGATGGTAATAGTAATCATGATAATACTGATGTTAATAATAATGATGATAATGATAATAACAAAAATAAAAATGATAATAATAATGATGATACTAATACCATCACTACTACAACTAATATTACTAATAATATTGATAATCATCTTTTCATCATTTCACTCATTCCATTTTCTGAAGACACCAGCATCATTACGTAAGTTATAATGATAAGGGGTGGGGCGAGATGTAGACATATACCATCCGACTCCATCTCATCCATAAAACAAATGATACTCAGCCTTCCTAGAAATCTCATTTTATCAAACTATTCATACTACTCTTTTGAAAATGATTTGTATTTTTCCCCCTACTAGTTCCTCACGGATCCCGACGATATTGGTGTCGATGGATTCCTCTCACCACCTCCAGCGCAAACCCCCCCAACCCCCCCTTTAGGATAGCAGGGGGTGGCATGAAAGGTACCGACGAAATTGCGAGGTAAAATGTGAATCCTCTGCACAGGATGAGAGAGCGTAGGGCTGCTTGGCACGGCGCTCCTGCATGACGGTCGTGAGCTCTCTCTCCTGCTGTGAATGCGTGGACGGTTCTGTGTTTCTCTGGGATATCTTATTCATTAAATAATATTAATGTTTTACCCCGCAATTTATTTCCCTGGTGCCTTTCATGCCATCCCCTGCTATCGGGGCCGAGAATTCTGGGGATTTCCACGCAGTAATTATTATGTTTTTGGAAATTAGAGAGTGAGAGGAATCCAACGATATTAAAATCATCACGATCCGTTAGGTGGAATTATTTGAAAAATACAAAACAAAACAAAAGAATTGTCTCTTTGTAAAGATGTCAGTTGAGGACATGTGGAATTTTTTAGAAATCATGCATGGTCTTTGATTTTGAATGGCAATTTGGTATGCTGCATGTTTCTTTACAAATCCATAAAACTACAAAGCAAAAAAACAAACAAACAAACAAAAGATAAACAATACGTAAGCATGTAATGATGTATGCATGTATGAATTCTGTTCCAACCAATTGGCGTCTGGGCTTCTGTTTTCAAGTTATAATATTGTGTATTTTTTCCCTGTTTATCTGATACACTGAATGAGAACATACCGTAATCTTGACATTGACTGTATAAGGGATAGCATACTAATGATAGCATGAGAGAAAAAAAAAAAATCGTAAAAGCATATCAACATATTAATGTTCAGACTTCACAGATAATAATGGTTTACGGAATGTACTACAGCTTATAATTTGACACAATTTTGAATGCATTTATTTTATTACAAATTCAACAGGAGAGTTACATAATGTATTTGCTGTTTTACATTAAATTTAAAGTATTAAGAGGGAATTAACGTTACCTTTAAGCCGCCAAAGAACATAAAGCAAATCCTTCACACCAATACCCTACAAAAGTAATAAAACTAGAAGAAACAAAACGATATTTGTACACACACATTCAAATAACTTTTTTTTAACCGCTCGCCTAACGGTATTTCACCACCCATCCTTCCTCCACAGCGGCACAAATAACGGCTTTGACATCGCACCGGTTGGCAATCCTTGGTAGTGTTGCAACAGGAGAACCCGACCTTGCTCATTCCTGCCATCTGGCGGCAACGCTGGGAAGCTGCACGTGACGTCACTCGGTCGCTTATTCAACAATTACCACGTCAGTTGTAGGGTGGTCGAAAGACAGTGGGGCGTGATGATCAAATATAAGTTTTTTTTTCCTGTAAAACGGAAATGTTAGTTTGAAAACAAACTTTATTTTATTTTAATCGTTTGGTTTATGATAACACCCATATATAATGTTTTGTGTTGTAATCTGCATAAGAAATATATATATATATTTTTGTGAGAAAGAAAAGTATTGTCTTGGAGAGTTAAAACATATTCAAAATCGAGCATAGTTCAAAATAAGCAGAACTGACTGTACTTTACTCAAAACATTGTTCGCATGAAGTCATAGTTGATTCCATTGTTTGCACTTTACATCATAAACTAAATCAAGATCGTGTTGTAGATATATCACAACCAGTTAGTTTTTAACTTAACAAGCGCAATGCCCTTAACATTATTAATTGTAGGAATTTTATAGTTAGAGAAATGGCAAGATTTTGCGAAAAAAGCAGAACGTATACAGGAAACAGTGTAGCAGGAATCCTTGCTAGAATGTAGCAGACAGCGATTGGAACTAGCGTTGAAAAGTACAAAGTGTTGGGAAAAAATGCACAAATCAATCATAGTTACCAAAATATGATACTATTTAAAACCCGAACTAAAATATTTATGGTAGTACGCACATTCTAGATTATTCTACGTCAGTATACAGCGTATAGTATTTAAGTAGCACTTCTTGCTATACAAATATCTTCACTATAGCGTGGTCTCTTTTCCTAAACAACTAAGTGGAAACTCTCTCCTGTTGCCATATGTGGGATATACGTTTAATCTTAAATAAATCATACATACTCATATTCTCATTGTTGATGTTGAATGTAGATTATATATATATATACTTATATACATATGTATATCACAGGTTTATATGGATACTATAAAGACATTGTATTCCCAAACTTCTTTTCTTTGTGTTATTATCCATACTGAGTGTAAATAAAATGGTACTATAACAGCTGTTTCTGTTACACACGTCCCAACAACATTTCATTCATGTTTCCATCCGTTTCATTCACACGTGGAGAAAAATTATGAATGAATTCCTTCAACTTTAACTTCAACATGTAGTTTGTAGGACGGCGAGTTATACACCTATTTCATGAACAACTATTAAGTAATAGAGAAGAAAAACAATCAACTAAAATAACAGGAGGCTTTGTAAGTACGTTCCCCATGGACACGCTAGGATCGACCCTGGCGAAATGATATAGATAAAAGAATTGGTCTACGTGTCCTGTTTACGGAATAACCGAAAACGATAAGTATTTCTGTGTGAATGCAAAAAAGAAAAAAAGAAAAAGAGAGAGAAAGAGAGAGAGAGAGAGAGAGAGAGAGAGAGAAGAGAGAGAGAGAGAGAGAGAGAGAGAGAGAGAGAGAGAAGAGAAAAGAAAGAGAGAGAAAGAAAGAAAAAAAAAAAGCATATATAAAAATATATTAACATCTTACTTCAAATAATAGTTTATGAGGATAGATATTTCACTTTCATCGTGAATATCTTATGGACATAGCAAATTCAACATTGCATTGAGTGGACTGCTTACAGTACTCCCAGATCTTTCTTTAATTCAATTTACTCCTCCTTTCTTACTTTAAACCCTACATCTACCTTCTCTCACTCCCCTCCTCTTCCCTCTTAAACTCCCCTACCTTCTTCGTCCCATTATACCCTTCCTTCCATCTTCTATCTTCTTTTTTTTTATTTTTTATCTTTATTTATTATTTTTTTAATTATTTTTTTTCCCATCTCACTTCCCATTTTTTTTATTATCTGCAAGTCCCCTCCTTTCTCCTCAGTTTCCCCTTCCCCATCTCCCCTTTTTCTCTAAGCTCCCTTCCCCTCCCTTTCTCTTTCTTCTCCCCTTCCCCTCCTACTTTCATACTTAACTTCCCCGTCGGGTAGAAAAATGATAATGATTTTAATTAAATTATTTATCAAGTGTCATGGTCCGCAGATTATTACAATGTATAAATATTAAAATTTAGGAAACATTATATCCAATTAAAGTGACATAATTCGATACTAGAGAGCTCAATATATCCAAACAAGATACAAATTGCATTTTAAGATACAAAAGATATATAAATGGGAATAAATGGTACTATATTCAGTAATATATTCAACATATCAAATAAAAATATGATGCTAAAATACACAATTCTAAGAAAATAAAGTTTGTGATGATATCGGTCATACAATATATCCAAACAAGATACAAATTAAATTTTAAGAAGATATAGAAATGAGAATAAATGGTACTATATTCAGCACTATATTCAACATATCAAAATCAAAATATGATGCTAAAATACATAATTCTAAAATATATATATATATATATATATATATATATATATATATATATATATATATATACGTTGATATCGGTCTTACAATATACCCAAAAGATATGCAAAACATATAGAAATGGGAAAAAATGGTACTATATTCAGTACTATATCAACATATCAAAATAAAAACAATACTGAAATACACAATTCTAAGAAAATATAGTTTGTAATAATATCGATCACACACACACAGAAAAAACAAGTAAAACTATAAATTTTCATGGCAATATGACCCATACAAATGGACATCTTATACAACACATTTTCTTGTGTGAAAGGCTGTAACAATGAAATGTATTGCGTGGATGAGAATATTTGTATCTGACAGCAGGTACATAATTTTCTTTTGTTGTTGATTTGCTGAATAGGATGCTCATTTCAATACATTTTTCGTATGAATGATTTGATTATAAGGCGAGACTCGAGAGGGAGAAAAAGATAAGTAGATAGGTAGATAAGTAGATAAGATGAGGAGGAGATAAAATATAAAATGAAGATAAAATAAAGAGATAGAGATAAATGGGAAGATTGAGAGAGAAGAGAGAGAGAGAGAGAAGAGAGAGAGAGAGAGAGAGAGAGAGAGAGAGAGAGAGAGAGAGAGAGAGAGAGAGAGAGAGAGAGAGAGAGAGAGAGAGAAGAGAGAGAGAGAGAGAGAGAGAGAGAGAGAGAAGAAAGAGAGAGAGAGAGAGAGAGAGGAAAGAAGAGAGAGAGAGAAAGAGAGAGAGAGAGAGAGAGAGAGAGAGAGAGGAGAGAGAGAGAGAGAGAGAGAGGAGAGAGAGAGAGAGAGAGAGAGAGAGAAAAGAGAGAAGAGAGAGAAGAGAGAGAGAGATGGAAGCAGATAGACAGGCATCAGATAGAGATATATAAATATATGATTAGACAGAAAGGTAGATAGATATAAAATGTATAAACGGATAGATAGAAAGGGATAGGTATATAGATTGAATAAACGGATAGAGAGAAGGCAGACATATATATATATATATATATATATATATATATATATATATATATATATATATATATATATATATATATATATATATATATGTATATGTATATATAGATGTTATACATATATATATATATATATATTATA